ATACTGACATGTTTAGCTCAAAGCACATGGCATGGTCCGAACATTTAGATATTAACAGTTTATAATATGCCTTGTACAGGACAAACAATACAGCTGAAGCTGATGGTAACGTCATTCAATTTCAAGGTATGTGGCACTAAAGTGTTGGAAAAACTAAAATTCAGACCTACAGTAAAAGTTAAGGAATCACCAAACTTCACAAAGACCTGATGATGTCTGTGTGGTAATACACATACCGGCCACTTTATTAGGTACACCTGTACAATTGTATGCACTTCAGTGCAACACTTCTGCCTTAACATCTGTGTTTATGAAGCTCAACATGTTTCAGTTATTGGTGAAATTTTCACAAGTGTATAAATTCAATTATATGTTTATTATTGAGGTCATAGTTAAAGGTGGTGTTGTACTGGAATACAATATATTTAGAGGTAGCTGGGGAGGACAAACTATATAGGGTGTGTATGGTGTGACTTGTCAGTGTATATCCAATACGTGTCAAGACATTTCACTCTCAGCTACAAATGTCAACCTGCTGGTGCCCCTGAGGAAAAGTCAGGACATCAGCAAAGTCATTAGGATTCATCCTGTGAGCACCATGGGTACCTGGACCATATTTAGAAGCCATCCATCAAATAATTGCGTGGCCTAGACCACCGCGGTGGACCCAGTGACCAACAGACGGTTAGCACAACTAACTAAAATAAACAAAAATATCAACCAACTCCTCAGATGGGCCTGTTCAGTCAGACCAGAATCAATGGAGCTAAAGAGGAGTTACATTACAATTGTTGAGTTTGATATATCATCTGTAAGCAGGTAAAACAAAGTATGTATAGAGGGTTCTTGTATTTTTGCCCCTTGAAAATATAGAACAATAGCACAATAATCATTCAATACAGCTAAAATAGGTTTCTTATTCATTTCCCGTGTTTTGTGCCTCTTATTTGCAGGGGTGGATCTAGAAAATTTTGGATGGGGTGGCCAGACTCAGAGAGGTGGCACATTTGAAATACATGTAAAAAAAAAAAAAAGTAAATTAAACCTGCTACTTCTATGAAATAATAAACCATACAATACTAAGAATCAAATTATTTACTTTGTGTAACAGTGAAACACACATTGCTTTCTTTAGCTAACTTTGGTTGGCTGCTTATTTATTTCCGGACAGCGATGTCGCTGCTGCACATTTGTTGCCCCGGTGAGGCGACTCATGCCAAGTACTTCACAACAACACAATCAGAGAAACGAATACAAATATCATGATGCATGCATGATTTAAAATAGAACTAATTTGACCTATATCAACTATAAAGCACTAGAAAAATATTTGTTGTGTTTCAGGCAACAATTTGTCATGATTTTTCATCTACTAATACTGACATTCATCACATTTTGACATGGCAGAGGGGGCACCAGGGGTGGCCAATGACCAACCCCTTGGCTCCGCCCATGCTTTTTTGATGATGGCCACCATGGCCTCAACATCAGCTTAAAAGTTTTCTGCAGTGAATTTTGTGCCTTCATGCCTTTTGTTACCCTAAAAAGCACAAAGAAAACAGGTCTGCACACGCACAATACAGAAAGTCTTTTTTTTTTTTTAGCCTGCATGAGGAGTGGAAAAAGCACAGACATTTCCCTTCTTCAGTGTTGCAACAGTCCTTCAGTCTTTACTCTAAAAAGTGAAAAAATAAAATTCTCTGTGACTGTATGAACTGAGTTTAAAAGAGCAGCAAGTGGTGACCTGAGGATCTCAGTTTGAGTACCATACTTCTGAGGTGCCCTTCACTAAGCTACTGAACCCCAGCACTAGATCCAGGGTTTCTGTGCCTACTTCCTACATCCACATGCTGGAGACCATTCTCTGTGGACTGCAGCAGGGTGTGGCCTGCTGCAGTCCCTGGGTGAGGAGAACTCTGGACACCTCTAGCCAGCCTCACAGAGTCTGCTGGTCCTGATAACCAACAGTGACTTCTTGAAGGCAGAGGAAACGTACAAACTCCCAGAGTTATGAGTAATTATTCTGGCTGCCGTGTGCAAGCGGAGATAGGAGATTCCTTTCCTCTCCTGACCAAAGAGAGATAGTTGTTTTTTGCTCTCACTCAGTCTCCCGTGCTCATGGGTTTGTGCAAGAAGCCACATCAGTGCAGATGCTCCATCTCTCCCTCTCCACTTGGCACACATCCCAGCATGTGTGAAAATGATATCTGGGTATCTGGCTGTGGCAGATAGAGGCTGATTTTATTCTGGAGGCTTTGGGAGCCCTAATCAATAGCTTTAATCAGTTAAAGATGCAGCAACTGAGAAGCTGCAGAAATGGACCAAGTCTCACACTAAAAGGAACTCAATCAATTTTTCACACCTCTCCTGTATTGATGTGAAAAAGGTATCTGAGGGACTGATTGTGGTGAGGTGGCATCCTGAAGATCCTGCATGGCAGTGATTTTCTGCACCCTTATCCTAGACCTGTTGTTGTTTCGAAGGAGGGGCTTTAATGTGTAGAGAGACTCCACCGTGGACCCAGAGGGCTTTTTATTTGAAGTACAGAAAGTAAGAGATGTGAGCACTGCAGATATCGAGCAGTGGCACTCCAAGAACCCAGTCTGCACAGAGCACACTGCTCCACCTGCTGTAACGATGTGCGCTGCAGTACAGCACTGACCTCAAATGGTAAGACACAGTACTGACGCTACAGTTACACCGACTGTAGTGCTTTAAATGGCAACAGGAGCTAAATATGTGTTATGGAAATATACACCCAGGGGTCTCTAACTAATAAAAAATTCTCCTTATACAACAATCCTGGCCTCGACATTTCCATATCAGAGGAGATTTTATGATTTCCCCATGTCATAGTAAAATCTATTTCCAAGCTAAACTTCAGTTATGTAAGACTTCCTCACAGTTGTATCCTTCCTGTAACTAACCTACAATCATCACTACCACCTGAGGATAAACTAGCAGTGTATTATAATTTCCTGACTTTATACTAAATAATGCTCTAATGTGTTGTCCATGCTGGGGTAATCCTCACCTAAAGGTCAGGCCTGTTTTTGCACCGCTCTCCTAAACCTGTCTATGGTATGCATGGACTATAATTTAGAAATAGTGTGCAACTGGCTTGGCACAGGACTGTGGATATACTGGCGTTGATGTCAAGTCTGCATAAACAAAACAAAATCAGATCCTTATCCATACTTGGGCCCTATTTACATGGCCATATCCAAATGTAGAGATGTCATTCTGTGTTTTCTAATTCAAGCCAGCATTAACAAACAGGCCCTCCATTCTGCCACAGATGAATCACTGAAGGATGCAGCAGCTCCATGGAGTGAGGATTTATTGTTATTGCTGTCCACAGGAGTGGTGGCCAACAGCTGTGTATACGTTTGTCTGTTTCAAGGCAGATAGCAGCTGATTCAATGTCTCAGTCTGTCAAGTCTTTGTGTGGGGAGGTCAGCAGGAGGCTGGACCTGGCCGACTGCCCGGGCCTTTGGGAGTCAGGTGGGAGCTAGAAATTTATGGTTCAAATCATTGCGGAAGACACAAGTAGATATTTTTTTAGCTGGGCTTTACTCCTGAATAGGTCTCTAGATGCTTAATCCAGAGCCAAACTATGAAATGCATTGTTTGGATTAGCAAACTAAGCTCAGTTGTAATTGAAGGTATATGCATTCTGCAGCACACTGCTGCTTTTCTCCTGTTTCTAAAAATAAAGAGCTGAAATTACAGACAATAAGATGCAGGCTGTTGTTTAAATAAAGCTCCTAGCTTGTTTTCAGACACTAGCGGGGACATAAATGAGTACAGAGAGGAGACTGGTGCTAGTGTGTGCTGAACAAGCACTTCCTCAAGCTGGGTCCCAAAGGTAGCATCTTCTACTTCCTCCACACCTCACTCATCTGTATACTCTGTAGTTTGCCATTTGTTCTGTTGAGGTAAGCACCAGATGGCTGCTTTTAAGTTTTTTTAATATAAGAACAGAACTGTGAGAAATGTGCCCTTCGCTTGGATTTAGCAAATAATCCAACTGCTTTCAATGTGTGGAACTGACCTTTATTCAGCATCTCAGGTCTCAGGAGGGTGTAAGTTTATTTTTCTATTGCTGGCCTTTATGGTTGCGGAATACAAATAAAAACTACCTTAGAAGCGAGTGTCTATATATCTCTTAGATATAAGGATGTGGTATTTCTCAATATATCAGTACACAACCTGCTATACACGGTTTCTTTGTTTTGAGTTAAACTGCTTTAGTGTTTTCATTTACGTTCCGTTATCTCAGTTGCATTCTGCTCTCGAGTTTGAAGATGTGGTGTTGATGTTTACAAAAGTTCATCCGATCAGCCCGAACTGAGATTCATGACAGAAAGAGTGGTAAAATCTGATTCACCTTCAACTTTTATTCAACATCAAAACTCCTGTAGTAGACATTTGGTTTGATAGAACAGCAGACTATGGATTTCTAGTAGTATGTCTCAACAGAAAAGCACTACAAGTATGAAGTGAACAAGAAAGACAGGAAGGTTAAAACATGGCTACAAGCCTGCATGCACAGAACGATGGAGGATATATTGTTCTCCTCTAGATGAGTGCTGTACAAACTGCGCAGCTACCATTTAAACGTTAGGCCAGCCAATTCTGTGAAGATAGCTGTCTGTTCATAGCGCTGTCTGAAACTGAGGTGCACGCACAGTCTGGTGTACATCACACAGTAGTGTTGGTAGCATCATGAACAAACAAATCCATTCAAAAAGGCACAATCCCATCCTCAACAGTCACCCAGCAAAACCTTAGGGAAACATACAGGCTGAAGTCATCAGAAACTAAGAACTACAAGTCCCATAGTTGTATCCAACCAAGTGCTCTGTGGATGGATGGTATAGCAGCAACTTGTGTTACGAGAACATCAAATCGACTGAAGCAATAGCGCACAGTGTGTACAAGTCTGTAAAGCAGTCCTAGTTTCCACTGGTCCTGGGTCAGAAAACAGTCCTAAAGCATGTGTTTTAAACAGACAAAGCATGTTTATTTCATACTAAAACAATATGCACCCGACATGAGAACATCCCTCTGTTCATTTTCTTGTCTTCCCCCTGGCATGTCATTTACTGTTTGGGTTTACCGTATAATTGACAACAAATTACATACCTTTATTTTGGGGGATACAACAGTTTCAGATTTTCATTTTAAAAATGTTCATTTTCTCCAATTAAAAGTAGATGTACTGTGCTCACAGGTATCCAGGCTATTTATTCTGCTTAAAAACAGAAAGCATTGTAGGGCACCACAAAACTTGCAGAAGACAGAAATGGGGCAAGCAACCACTGTTTTCAAGTATTGTGTATACCTATATTCAATCCTTTGTTGAACAGCCAGGATTTCTTACTCTTCCATAGGAAGGTCAACGCTCAGTTTCCCCATATACAGTTAAACATTTCGGCAGGCAATAGGAAAATTAATCAAGCTCAGATTAATTAAAATGGATGGGGGGTGGCATTACAACTTAAAAAAGAAAATAAAATACAAACAAAATGTTCTATCAATAAAATCAGCTAACGAGTCTTCTATTTAAGTACACTGGTATTTGTGAAAGATAAAATCATTTGTTACTGGTTATTAGATAATAACTGATGTGAGTCAGTATTCGTCATGTCCCGTGTGGTGGTGCTTTGCTGACATGAGTACAGAGAAGAAGAGACAACTTTACAAAATGATCTTTTACCTACTGAGTGATGATTATGTCCCCTCAGTGTCTGTGACAGTGTCTACCACTGGCTGACTCGCAACTTCCTCCATGGGCTCACTCTGTTCATTGCCCACGTCCTTAGGAGAGACAATCTGCTCCTGCTGCAGCTTCGGTTCATTTTCAGGGAGCAGAGAACAGAAAGAAGGTTCTGGAATGGGCTCAGGAGAGTCCTCAGGTGTTGGTTCAGCCACATTGCTATTGTCTATCTCAGATCCATTGACCCACTGGCGTTGGGGTGAGAAGGCTTCCCCTTGAGACTTGTTCTCATCTTTCTGTGGACTTTCCTGCTCCTCCAGAGAGTGAGATGTCTCTTCCGGGGGGCTGGCAGCTTGTATGAAGGCCACAGGTGAGTCCTGGGACAAGGCCTCAACCGGCGGAGAGGCTCGGCATGGGGTCTTAGTGCCTGAAGAGCTAGAGGTGTTGGAGGGGGCTGTAGGCAGGGATGGTGACTCAGCCTTGGCGGGAGCCTCAGTTACTGGGCTCTGACTGTTGCTGTCAGGGGATGGGTCAGGTGATTGGGCCTGAGGTGTCGCAAATGGAGCTGGGGTTTCTGAATGGTGCTCAGCTGTTTGGCTCTGTGACAAAGGTGGAGACTTGATCTGAATCTGAGGCGGTGGCTGATCCAGACTCAAGAGAGAAGGTCTGCCTTGAGCTTGAGGCAAAAGAAGGGGCTGGAATCGTGGCTGAAGCTGGGGGTTCAATTTGAGTGGTGCAAGTAGTTTGCCTTGGTTCAAGGTCAGGTTGGGATTAAGAGGTGGAGTTGGAAGTAGAGGTGTAGGTAGAGGGAGCAGAGGTGTCCAGCTCCCACGTTCACGATCTCGCTCTTTGTCACGGTCCCTGTCACGTTCATGTTCTCTCGTTCGATCTCGGCCTCGCTCCCTTTCTCTCTCCCTCTCACGCTCTCGGCTTTGGCGGTTACCATTCATCTCCCTCCTGAAGTCAAAATCTCTTTCATCTCTGTCTCTCTGCCTGTCCCACGGACGTCTTCTGTCATCTAGGTCTTGATGTAATTCAGTGTCAAAAGGCGCTGTTGAACCAACGCTTCGGTTCCAGGCCTGCGGCCCCCCAACACCTCCAGCATTGCCAGGAAGCCCTCCAGCTCCTCCTGCTGCTGCTGCTGCTCCTGGACGGCTGTCAAAGCGGTTGGGGAAGTTCTGCCCAGGTGTGGGCCGCTCCTCCTGGAAGCCTTTTGGTCCACTAGGAGCCTGTGGGCCTCCTCGCGTGCCATCTCGTTCATCAAAGTCCCCTCTGACCTGGTTCCAGCGGTTGTCAGGAGTGAAGCCTGCAAGAGCTTGCAGACGTCCCACTAGGCTAGTTCTGGCTGGCTGTGTCCCTGGTGTCTGGAGCAAGGGAGGCCTGCCTCCTCCACTTCCTCCTGCTCCACCACTGCTTCCAAGTGGTTCCCTATGCTCTGGTGGAGGTGTCCTCAGCAACCCTGTGCTCTGCTTTTCCATCGGGGGGAAGCGGTAGTCCTGGTCTTTGCCCTCATCAGCACCAGATGAAGACTCATCTTCTGTCTTGGATAAATTTTCATTGGTAAGGTTCGGAGCTCTGCTGAAGGGGTCCATCTGAGAGAAGGGAGCCCTGGGGCGGGCTTGAGCCTGGAGGGACCCGTCGAGGAGACTAGCAGCCTGCTGGGCCGGGCCCTGCTGCATGAGGAGTGGGAAGCGGGCAGCAGCCCCAGGCTGGAGGAGATTAGGTCGCACATCTAGAGGCAGCAGACCAGGCATTCTCTGCCCAGTCAGACCAGACTGATGCAACGGGTGGGTGAGGGAAGCTGTAGGATGCATGCCAAGGAGACCCATGCCACTGCGGACTGCATTCTGCATGCCTGGGGGCAAAACACACAGACAGAAATAAATGTTTAAATTCTATTTGTTCAAACACAAACTTCAACAAAACAGAAAATAATTTAAAAGATGAGTGTCCAAACAACATTTTTTTTAAATCTTTCATTTAAAAACATGTTAGCACCTTGCAGTGTGAGCTCCGCAGCAGCATCCATTCCCTCCGCAGACTGTGTTTTCTCACCAGAAGCTTGCTGAGTTGGGACTCCTACTGGGTTGAACATACTGGCTCCAGGGATGGCTGAGGGCATGAAGCTGCCAGGGATGGTGCCGGTTGGAGGCATCATAGCACTGAACGGTGATTCCTTGACAGCTTCTTGGCTTGAGGCCACTGAAGGCTGCACTAAAGCTATGAGTGAGTACAGGAGAAACAACAAATTCAACCTAATAAACTCCAATCAAATGCCTCAATTTTCAAAACTATATGCATGTATTAGAGGTGTAGCATATCTTAAATACTTACAAGTAGTTGCTGAGGCCATGCTTGCTGTCTGTGCTGCCTGCATGAATCCTGCACAACAGAAACTTGTCTGTCAGCTTCTGAATTTCTATAGGCCTGATCTTTATATGACTGTCTGCATTATTTACCTGGCGGAGGCTGTGAGGTATTGAAGCCAGCCCTTATGAAGGGTGGTGGCGGCACGTAGCCTGGTGGGGGTATGCCCATGGTGACAGGGAAGGTCGGAGGCACCAAACCTACTGCACTTTGAACAGCCTGGGCCACTGGTAGCTGGTTGAGAGAAATAAGCAAAACATGGGTAAGTTAAAAGCCAAATGGCTAAGTTACATGGAACACAAGTACTCTTTAAGTACTCTATTTTTATTCCTATTTATCTCGTTTCACAATAAGCATTCCTTTGTCTGTCTACATTGTTTAGTGCCTGTTTATACTGCCTATTTTGCACTGTTTGTTGCTTGTTAATACTGCTTATTTTGTTATACTACACAGCCTTATGTTGGTTTACTGTTTACTTGCCCCTTGCATGAGGATATGTACATATACATTGAGAGCCGATGTACCAGAGTCAAATTCCATGTGTGTCTGACACACCTGGCCAATAAAGCTGATTCTGATTCTGACCATGTTTCAGCAGCTGCCTAAGCCTCCACTACAAGACAAGGCTGGTGACTTACTATGTTTCTATTTCCCACAAATTCCTTACAGAAACTAAAAGCAACAATGAACTTTGTGTTTTTAAAGTTTAATCAGATTTGCTAATTTTAGATAGGTAGGTAGATAAGATAGATATTGTTAAAATCTGAAAAAAATCAAAACAGTTTGTCCAGTACCTGCACAGGCATCATGGTAACCTGCTGGCTGTATGTCTCAGTCTGGGTGTTGGATGCTGCTGTAGTCTCGACGCTTACTGGCTGACATGTAACCTCCTTGGCTGGCTCTGCACTCTTGGCTGCTTCCCACTCTGCAGATAGAGACAAAACATTCAAACTAGCATCCAGTACTTTGTTTGGATTTGAAAGTTTAGCTGTGTTTTTCCAACTCAATCTTCGTTTCCATTTTTCTATCAGGGTGGGGGTGGGGGTTCCCAATGGGATTTCTTCCAGGATTTTGGGCAATACCATAACAAAACAAACAATTGAGGGAATGGGGCAGAAAACAAATCTTGATCAAATGCCTGTGTTTGGAAATCTATGCTTTCATCATGTGTGTGCAGAAACTTGCCTGTGTGTCCCTATATTTACATAAGCATTGCTACTGACTCAGCAGACCTAGTGCATGTGCCAAAGAAAGAAGTTAATAAGTAGAAGTGTTTCTTTTCACCATCATTGACGGTCTCCTGGTCAATGATTCCTCCTTCAGCAAAGCCATCCAGGTCATCCAACTTCACCTTCTCCCAAGGTATGTAAGTGACACCCAGGTCCACATCCCAAAATTGTTTGTACTCCTGTTTTACCCCCTTGTTTAGGGCCCATGCAATCTGGATAAGATACATACAAATGATGGTCAAAGTTCAGCAAAGCTATTTCTAGGAGCATACAAGGATCCATGTGCCTAGAATGCTTAACTGTCTCTGAGGTTTCACCACTGTAGGGCAATAGAAAATTACATTAGAAGAAACCACAAGGAGAACCAGAATACAAACAATCAAATTAAAAGGTAATGTGTACCTTGATAATCTTGGAGCCAATCTTATAGGAGCCGGTGCTAAGCTTCTGACGGGCGCGATAGGCATCCTGCCTGTGGACCATACAGATATAGGCACAGCCTCTGGGTGGGATCATCTGTAGAGACACACACACAGATTCCAACAGACTGAACAAGAAAATGGTCAAAACAATACATGACCATATAATAGACTCAGATGTATGATGAGAAATGTGTAAATGAGAACTGGAGAGAAAACGTATACAACAGAGGGACCATGGTAGAAACAGCAGACCAGTGATGGCAGCTTAAAATTACAATACAGTAATGACAGACTCACTTACCAGCTTTCATTTTAAAATTTTGGGATAAAAGAAGTGGCTAACACACTGTAACTCAGGGGTGGCCAATACCGGTCCTCGATGGCTGCTCATTTTCCAACTATCCCTGCCCTACCTACTGTTGGTTACCTGGATCAGGTGTGTTTCAGTCAACCAGAAGCTGGAAGATATCAATTTGCTTTGTCTTTCCTCACTCCACCTTCATCTAAGAGAGTATCTTCTAGCTTCTGATTGACTGAACACACCTGATCCAGGTAATCAGCAGTGGGTAGGGCATAGATAGTTGGAAAACAAGGGGGGCGAGCGGCCCTGGATTGGCCACCCCTGCTCTAACTAAAATTGAATTAGGTTGGGGAGAGGTCTGCTTACGTTGATAGATTCAATCTGACCAAATTCTTCAAACAGATTGGTCAGATCTTGCTGAGTGGCCTTCTTGTCCACCTGACCCACCCACAGAGTTGTGCTGCACACTACACAAGGGTAGGGGGAAAAAATTACTCATCAGAAAGACAGAGCCAGGAAACAATAATTAAAAGATTAAAACAACCAACAATGACTTCCACTTACCACTTAGAGTCTTGGATCGTATGGGAGGCAGTCCTTTCTTCTGCCGCTCCTTCTCTCGCTCTCTGGCGCGTCTTTCGCTTGAGTAAGACCGCGATGACTTCCTCTTACGATCTCTGGAACGTGATCGTGACCGCTTGCGGTGTTTACGCTTCCGAGAGCTGGAACGAGACCTAGACCTTCTCCTCTTTGGAGACCTACAGAGAGAAAAAATTCCAACTTTAAGAAATGCTTTCCTGACTGACTTTCTGTCACTGAAAAACCACAGGTATGCTCCAGTCTAAACATCAACACCTGTCTTCATCATTTGTAATTTCGATGAACATTTGTCTACTTACCAGATAAACGACTAGCCAGGGTTTGACAAAGCACTATAGCAACCTAATATCACAAGCTTGAACGGGCTAATTAATCACTGCTCTGATTATTTGAAATTACAATCTAGAACATTCTTTGTCAGAACTAGACACAATTCATATTTGGTACCCATATGGCTTCCTGATAAAAATGTGATGAATAAAATCACTCTGTGATGTCTTATATAAATCTGTTTAGTTGATGGGCCTTGGTAAAAGCAGGTATACACACAGTAAGCACAGAAAGCAGATGAGCTTAGGGAGAGTGGAATTACTGGAAAGGTTTGGTTACTGTCCTTTTCAACATAAATATTTTCCAGAACCACATACATGGTAACGACACTGCATCATCTGACCTTCAGGGGAATACAGTCAATACCTCTCTGACATTAAAAAAGATTGTACCTTTGTAGCTTATACAACAAGACAATTCAGTAATATTCCAGTCTCACTGAGGAAAGTACCACATAATGAAGTTTTAGAAGTGAGACTGACCGAGACCGTGACCTTGAGCGTGTTCTGGAGCGTGTGCTGACTGTCTTCTTCTCTTCTGCCTCAAAGATCTCCTCCTCCTCCTCCATTCCATCTGGGCCCTCGTCCAGATCCATGTCCTATAAACATGGTAATTTAAACACCTCTTTACACTTCAATACAAGGTAATGTAGTTAATTGCAGTAATTACTATGAGATCTGAGCCTACAGCTAAGTAACTACTTATTAATTATAGAGATACAGCTATTGATCAGTGGAGATCAGAAATGGCCGGTTTTCAGCATGATCAGCCTTGATCATGACCGGCCAATCGCTCTGATATTTCCGATTCTGTGGTGGTCAGATTTAGAGGCATGACAGTCCATGTCGCACATGCAGTAGGACAGACCAAAGTGTAGCATCTCACGTGCAGCTCAAGCAAGGTTCAAGCTTATATCTATACTCTAATTAATTACTTACTCCAGTATTTCAGTACATTTACTTCAATTGTAAAAGTAACAGAATACAACAAAAGGTATAAGTCAACATAATTTTCATCAATGGCCCACTGCAGGGATACCTGCTGTTGGTTGTCTATGGAGTCATCTAATTTGTTCTCTGGCTCAGGAAGCTGTGGCTGGCTGCTGCTCTGAGCGGTCGCAACAGACTCTTGTCCAAAGATTGAGTCCTGCCCTTCTATACTCATCGCCTAGAACAAGAGCAGAGTTTTAAAATGCATTTTATTTGAAGCATTTAAATGGATAAAAGGAGGCATACTAAGTGACAGCTATATGCTTGAAACATTACAAATGTGGATATAACAGAAGCTATGTGATTTAATAATAAGTCCAGTGAATGGCATTTCCTTGTAAATAAAGTTTAGGCTATTTACTATGCTGAACAAAGTGCATCTTGGCTGGGGGTAAAAATTTGTTAAAATCAAAGCAGTACTGTGTGTGTGTGTGTGTGTGTGTGTGCCATCTACCTTCTGTTGATGTTGCTGGTGCTCTAAGAGCTGCTTTTGAAACTGCTCCAAATTCTGCTGTTGTAGCTGCTCAGCCAACTGATGGAAGAGGGAGCTGTTGATGGGCTCAGACACTATAGGCCTGGAAGTCGCAGGCAACAATTAGACATAAGCACTCAAGAGGTAGTGAAGGGAACTTAACACTGGATCCCTATTGACAGCGTGGGAGAAAACCCACTGTGATAACAGAGAACACTGAACTTACAGCTGAGATGATGTGTCCTTTTTAGATTCTTCACCACGTTCAGAATTGCTCCCAAAGTCAAACGGACCCAAAAGTTTCTGCCAACAAAGACAAAGTCATCAAATTAGAAGAGTTCAGATTATGCAAGAAATAAGATGCTAACAGTGGCTGACTGCAGTTTTACCTTATTAAAAGAGGAGACCCTTTGCTCAAGGGGGTTGAGGCTGTTGGCAGTAGCAGCTGCAGTGAGTTGAGCTGTCAGAGCTTGCAACTGCACCACCAGGCCAGCATCCAAGGCTTGCAACAGGGATGGCTGGGGCTTCTGCTGCTGCATCTGCAGACTCTGTACCAGCTGCTGCAGCTACAACAGGTAACAGTACAGAGCATATGACATAGCTACACAAACTGCAGGTACACTCAAACAAAAGGAAAAAACATTCTCTCACTGGACAAAACTCTTTAAGGAATACTACCGTATTTTCCGCACTATAAGGCGCACCCAAAAGCCTTAAATTTTCTCAAAAATCGGCCGTGCGCCTAATAATCCGGTGCGCCTTATGTGTGCACTGAGTTCCAAAATCTGTAAAAATGTTGTTCATGTTCATGAATTCAAAATCAAC